CTTGAGCCCAGGAGTTGGAGGTTGCTGTGAGCAGTGAAGCCATGGCACTCTACCCAGGGGCTCAGCTTGAGGCTCTGTCTCAAAAAAAAAGAAAAGAAGGAAAAGAAAAGAAAATGGGCTGCTTTGTAAAGTTTTGCCCAACATGCTACTATAATACTGAAATTCAAAAATTAACACTAGTTATAGTTTTGGAATGTAACATGAGAATCAACTTGGAAACACATTACAATAGCTGCACTGGACACCTCATTGTACATGCACCACACATACACAAGTATAACTCCTCTTTTGGACTGTAGCTCGCTAAGTAAACTTTGGAGAGACAATATGGTAGCTTTATGCACTTCACTGCCTGGAAAACAGTAATAGTTGGCGCTAATTAAAGTAAAGACTGAGAAGTGAACTGGAATCCAACAGATTCTTACATTTTAGCTTGTGCTTACATTACAGGTTAAATGTTTTCCCAGCCAGCACACTAGTGGATGTGTGTGGGGTGGGGGGGGAAGTGGAGAGCTACAACACACGGAATTCCTTCTATTTCATGGAAGATCGATCTAAATTCCTATGCTCTTTTCTTTTCTAACTCAATAAAAAATGAGGCGCTCTAACCAGCAGGAAGTTCCTCATCTAAATTCCATTTCGTACTCTGATAGCTTTGTCTTTGCAAAGCTCCTGTAGTGCTGGGAGAACAGCATGGGCACAAGCATCTCCCTCAAAGTGGCCATCGGGTGCAGAAGTCACGGGAGTTGAAGGGAAGCCGATTCTGTCACCTGCTCTGCTCGAGAGACTTGCTGGCAGCACGTTCCTCCCTGGTTTGGCACAACCTGGCTTTGATCCTAGTTCCTTCCCCTTGGTACAAGCTGGAGTTCCGAACCAAGGTACTTTCTCTCACGTGCAAAACGAAATGTCTCCGACGAGATGATAGAGAAAGCTACCTTCCGTATCGTTTATGTCATAAATATCATTTTATTTATTTTAAAACAACCGGCCTAAGGCATGTTGTGCAAGACAACCCGCCAGCCCGCGTCGAATGCAAGAAAGAAAGCCGCAGCCCAGCCCAGCGCGGGGAGGGCGCCCCCTGGTGGCCAGACAGGCCGTCGGCGCAGCAACGCGGGCGTTCACTGGAGGCTCAACGGACTCGGGCGTAGCGCGAGCGGCTGTAGCCGAGAGGCCCAGCTGTCCCGCGCCCGCAGCCCGCGGGACGCCGCGGAGCAGGTCGACGAAGCTTCATCCACCCTCATCCGAGGGGTGGGGGAACGTAGGCCAGCGCCCGGAAATAACGCGTGCCACTTCCCTTGTCACCTCTAGTTCCAAAACCCAGGCGAAGGAAAAGAGCCCTAGAGAAACATGGAGAAGGCAGGACGAGAGCGCAGCGAGTCAGGGAACGCGCCGGGGACATTCTAGAGCTAGAACTCAGGAGAAGGCAGCCAGTGCCAGGGTAGCTGCGAGTGAATTGGGCTCACGTTGGAGGAAGAAAGCACCACGTTTTTTCTAGCATTGCTTCAAGATCTCTTAATCCGGCATGGGGCAAGATCCGGAGTTTTGGCTCAACGAGCAGGTACTTCCCTGTAAAGCAAAAGTCTTCTGTAAATCATTAGATAGAGTGCGATATTAGGCATGTGTATGTGCACGTTCTGGTTTCCCACTGGCGCTCCCACGTGCAGGCACTCTTTAAAAAATAAAAACGGCAGCTAGGGCAGTGCATATGTATTTGTTTACTAGCTTTATATCTTTTAAGAGGGACAATACCTTCAGCATGGACAATAGGATTTTGAGAAATGTTCTGGGTTGGCAAGGAGAGTGGGAAATAAAGGATGACTCTTCTGGTTAAGCAAAGAAATATGCAGTGAAACTGTAACAGCACCCCCCCCCCCCATTTCCGAAGTCCGTGCCGTCGCCCGGATCATATATGTGTGTATTACTGAATTAATTTTAAAAACTTGGGACTGTAGAATTTCCTTCAGCTACTGTGTCAAGCAAAAGAGTAAGGAAGATCTTCAAAAAGCCTTCATCCATATATAAAACCCCCTTACAAAATAAAAGGCTAATAAGCCGAGAAACTACAAGTCGACACAATCAAAAGCAAATCCCAGCTAGAGCAGAAGGTACTTGAAACTCGAATCTGCATTCCGTTCCTCCCGTACAAGGCTCCGCGGTGGGGGAGGCGGTTTGTGCTGGTGCTGGGTGTATAATCGGGTTAATCCAGTAGACAAAGAATAAACCAATAGCCCTCCCACCTCACTTCCCGCTCCCCTTCCCCTCCCCCTTCTTTTACCCCGGTCGCCCCTTTGGCGAAGGGGAACAGATGAGAGGTGGACTTGAAATGGATTCCAGATAGAGCTTCAAATCTGCAACTTGTTTTTAATGCTAACACTGCATGGTCCGAATTAGTCTTAAATGTTCGTCCCCCTTTCCTGGTGGCGAGAAGAAAGTTCCCTAAGTCAGTCTGAGCCTATGGCTCGTCCTCATCGCCTCTAGGGAAAGCTTAAGGTCAGTGTCCCCTTGAAACTAGATAAACAGACCCCGCCATGCCCAGGCCGGCCCGCGGACGCCCCGCGTGACGGCGTCCAGGCGGCAGGACTGGCCCGGGACGCGCGGGGCGGCGTGGTTGCCCTTTTGAATGCCTCCTGCGGCTCAGAGCGCTGGCGGGCGCTGGAGTGTGAGTGAATGTAGCCCCGCGGAGCCAATGAGCTGGGACCGGATGCGATATATCCTCTGGGACAACAACTGCTCTGTTCCGCCTCGGATCCACATGACGCCATTTACTGCTGCCGCGGCCGCCGCAGAGCTCCCTGCCTCCTCCGGAAAGGCGAGGGCGCAGGCCAACGGCGAGCCCCCCCGGCCGGGCCCCAGACCCTCCTCCTCCTCCTCCTCTTCCTCCGCACCCACCGCCCCCGCCTCGGCCTGGCTGCCGCGCCTCCACAACGCCCAGTCTGCACCGCCGAGAGCTGCGCGGCGCAGCGCTAGCGGAGGAGAGGGGCCGGCGGAGCCCGCAGCGTCCAGGCCCCCGCGCCCGCCTGGCCCGGCCCGCGCTGCCTCTGCTGGGACGCGGCCGCACCACTTGGCGATCTGGCTTTAGCTTCTCTGTAAGGCCAGTTTTCTTTTCTCAATCGCTCATCTGCCAGGAAAAAGGACTTGCCCTTGGTGCTCCGGCCTCTTGTTCATTGAGAAAAAAAAAAAAACAAAAAAACGGAAATACTCCGCATGTGCTTCTAGAAGGGAGGTCGCCTCCAGCCTCAAATCCCGGAGTGTTCACCGCTGGGGGATTTAGCTCCGAATTTCCCTCTTATTTCTTCCTTCCACCGATTGCTTGGAAGTTGGACTGAGGCAGTTTGGAAAGAAGGGGGGAAAAGTTTGCATCGGGGCTGGATTAATTTGCACATCGCAGAAAGAAGAGAATCCAAGGGAGAGGGGTTGCTGCAAAGCCGCGATCACGGTGAGGCGCGTTTGGCTCGTCCCCTCCTGGCTCAGTGGCCGGAGTGTTGCGGGCAACATGGAGTAGGTGCAGCTGGACCGGGAGCTGGGTCTGTTTCTCCCCAGCCTCTCTTTTTCTAACCGTGCAGGTTCCCGGCAAAGATCCGAGGAGCTGCTCGGGGATCTGACTCGCCCGGGACTTGGCCTGCCTTGGTGGGGGCTTCTGTGTGCGCCCTGTGCGGTGTCCCTGGCTGGCGACCCCGTGCGCCCGCGTCCTCAGGGGTCAGGGCAGGGGGCAACTCCCCTTGAGTCTGCTCCCAGCCCTGCATTGGGTATGAAATATGCACAGAGAGCGAGATAAGGAGGAAGAACACTTTGTGTTTTCCAGGTCGCTGTTGTAGGCGACCGCATTTCTAACCTGTTCCTCCTCTTGGTAGAAGGCAAAGTCCTGGGCGAGGCTATCCGTAGCGGGGGCGCTGGCTGGCCTGGGGTGTATAGGTTGCTCTTCCTCGCTGAGGCAGGAGATCCCCCCCAGGGTGTATAAAAGAACTGGGTGCTGGGTAGAGGGAGTCCCCTGCCTCTGCCCGGTGAGCAGAGTCTAGCCCGGTGCGGGTGGGAACGTCGCCCTGCCTGGCGCCGGCTCTCTGTGGTTCGGAAGTGCAGCTTTCGCTCTTTTCCGTTCTTAGTGGTCAGCCTGGGTCACACTTTTTTTATTTTTGGAAGGTTGGGCTGACCCAGAGCAGGAAGAAAGTCATCAAGTGGTCATGATCATTTTCCATTACCTGAAAATAGGTGGCGAAAGACACCATTTTTTTTTCATAACCTTTTTGTTGTTGCTGCTTTTTTTTTTTTTTTAAGTTTAGAGCCTTGTGCAGTTTTTTACAAAGCGGTTTCTGTGTCGGTTTGCCCCACCCTAGTGCTGAAGTCCTTTTCCCCTAATCCTTAGTCTGATCACACACTGTTCTTAATGGGGTTTCACAGCACTTTCAGAGGGGAGGGGGAAACGGAGGAGGGTGAGGGAGCTGTGAAGAAGGCGGCCAGGGATCAGCAGAAATCACTTTAAAAAAAAAAAATACAACTCTTGTGTATTCCTCCCGAAGATACTACTTTCCACTTCGAGCAAATCTGCCCGGAAAGTTTCCAGCCCAAGAATCTGGGTCTTGCAAGCCCGGAGTGTGCATCGTGGCCCTGGAAAACGTCCTTTCTTTAAAATGCAATTTTTCTTTCACTTTAAGAAATATATCTTTTTTGTCTCGACCCAAAAAGAAATATAGGTGTGTGCAAATTACAGGCAGTGTTCCTTCAGTCAGCGCATCGTGGAGTCGCTGTGTGCGCGTGGGTTAGACCTTCTTGTCCTGGCCGCGTGTCTAAGTCTGGCTTTCCTTCTCTCCAGGCACTGGGGTAGGAAACCTGTGCCCGGTCCTCGAGGGCCTCTGCAGAAAGCCGTGTGTTGGGCTGCATGACCTCTGCCTGGGAGCAGAGTGGCTCCTACCTGGGGCTGGAAGGCAGTTCACAGGAGTTGGGGGAGATCTTAGCAGTGGAGGCGGAGGCGGGGGAAGTGTGCTCCTGCGTTTGGTGACACGTCCCCTTTGGAGGCGCCCGCGGCCCCCGCCTGTCTGTAAGTCTGTAAGGGGGGAGGGGGGCAGCCTGGCCCCTGGACAGCGTCAGACCGCCTGGAAAAAAGTCCCCCGGGGTTCCGGCTGTATCCCACCTGCTGGGGACAGTGTTGCGGAGCAGATAGGAGCGATAAACAGTGAAAGCAAAGCGCAGTGCTGTCTGCCATTCTGCTGGAGGTGAGCAGATCCGGTTTCCAGCTCTGCCTCGTTTTACGAAGTGGGAACTGGGAGGTGTTTGTCACCTGCCTTGTTCGCGCTGGCTCTCTTTAAAAAACGGAGATTGGATAAAGGTTCACTTTTGCCTGTTTTACTTTTTATTTTCAGGTAGTCTTGGGGAAGGGGATGATAGTTTTGCAATTTAAGAGGGACTGCGTTTTAAGGAATTGACAGAATGGTAGATTTGAAATGTGACATTTGAATTTTTAAAACACTTTTCCTCTTACTACCAGTTGTTTTATGCTGTCAGCGTATTTTTTGAAGTCAGAAAATAAGTTAAGGTTTTAACACACTTTATTCCTAAGAGAGAGAGAGAGAGCGATCTTAAGCTGCAGAATCAAAGGTATTCTTCTAGGGCATTGGGTTGATCTTCAAGTATTGAAAATAATTTCCTGTCTTGTTGCTTGTTTTGTAGGCTTGTTTTAGTGCGTGTCTCCCACCTAAAAGTATTTGAATTAATTTGTTTTTAATGCTATGAGTTGGTGCTACTTTATAGTTAATTTTTGAAAAGGCATCGTTGTAAAATACGGTAATTGTTGTTGGAGAGGAATTTGCCTTTTGCGTGTCATATTCATCCTGCAGGATTTGAAAAAGTACAGAGTGCTGCATAAATCATTCTAAGCGTTTGATCTGGAAGCAAAAAGTAAGAGGCAAGAATTTTCTAGATTGTATTTATTGATGCTGAAGGCAAAAATGATCATGACAAATTTCAATCTATTTCAAATTTTGAAAACATATTCAGCCTTTGAAAACGTTGGTAGCTATGTTATATTTCAACATTACTTTCTTGCAATTTTTACCTTCTTCCAAATCATATGTGTATTTGAATAAGGAATTGTTACTTAAGTGATTCAAACAAAGATCAGCTTTGTGTGGCTGTATATCACAAGAGTACAGAACTGTCAGTCCCCAGCCATAATTTTTACATTGGGGTACATGCATTGATCACATGGCTATTCTAATTCTTGTCCACCGCCACTCCGGTTCTCATCCTGTTTCTATCTCCAGAGGAAGTGGGAAGTGAAGAGTCAACTCAGGTGGGTGGAGAGTGGGAAATAAGAATCTTAAGAATGTCAACAGTTCTCTTTCCTCTTGGTTTCTGCAGGAGTTCAGATGTGTTCTAAGCCTGCTGGAGTGACTACACTTTCAAGACCTGATGGAGGGCAGAGCTCAGAGTGGAAACGGGTCACAGCCCTTGCTGCAGGCACCCCGTGACAGTGGCAGGCAGCGTGGGGAGCCAGACCTCAGAGACACCCTCACCCAGCAAGTGCATGTTTTGTCTCTGGATCAGATCAGAGCCATCCGAAACACCAATGAGTACACAGAGGGGCCTACTGTGGTGCCAAGACCTGGGCTCAAGCCTGCTCCTCGCCCCTCCACTCAGCACAAACATGAGAGGCTGCATGGTCTGCCTGAGCACCGACAGCCTCCCAGACTCCAGCACTCGCAGGGCCATTCTTCTGCTCGAGCCCCTCTGTCCAGGTCCATCAGCACGGTCAGCTCAGGGTCACGGAGCAGTACAAGGACAAGTACCAGCAGCAACTCCTCTGAACAGAGACTGTTAGGACCATCCTTCTCCTCGGGGCCCATTGCTGACGGAATAATCCGGGTGCAGCCCAAATCTGAGCTCAAGCCAGGTGAGCTTAAGCCCCTGAGCAAGGAAGATTTGGGCTTGCATGCCTACAGGTGTGAGGACTGTGGCAAGTGCAAATGTAAGGAGTGCACCTACCCGAGGCCTCTGCCATCAGACTGGATCTGCGACAAGCAGTGCCTTTGCTCAGCCCAGAACGTGATTGACTATGGGACTTGCGTGTGCTGTGTGAAAGGTCTCTTCTATCACTGTTCTAATGATGATGAGGACAACTGTGCTGACAACCCGTGTTCCTGCAGCCAGTCTCACTGTTGTACACGGTGGTCAGCCATGGGTGTCATGTCCCTCTTTTTGCCTTGTTTATGGTGTTACCTTCCAGCCAAGGGTTGCCTTAAATTGTGCCAGGGTTGTTATGACCGGGTTAACAGGCCTGGCTGCCGTTGTAAAAATTCAAACACAGTTTGCTGCAAAGTTCCCACTGTCCCCCCCAGGAACTTTGAAAAACCGACATAGCATCATTAATCAGGAATATTACAGTAATAAGGATTTTTTTTTTTTAACCCACATATGCAACCAACTAAAACAGTTATAATCTTGGCACTGTTAATAGAGGGTTGGGATAGTCTTTGCTGTTTGCAGTGAAATGCTTTTTGTCCATGTGCCATTTTAACTGATATGCTTGTTAGAACTCAGCTAATAGAGCTCAAAGTATAAGATACAGAACTTGGTGACCCACGTATTGCATAAGCTAAAGCAACACAGACACTCCTAGGCAAAGTTTTTGTTTGTGAATAGTTCTTGCAAAATTTGTAAATTAGCAGATGACTTTTTTTCATTGTTTTCTCCAGAGATAATGTGCTATATTTTTGTATATACAGTAATATTTGCAACTGTGAAAAACAAGTTGTGCCATAGTCCATGGCACAGTCACAAAATATTATACTAATATGTTGTACATTCGGAAGAATGTGAATCAATCAGTATGTTTTTAGATTGTATTTTGCCTTACAGAAAGCCTTTATTGTAAGACTCTGATTTCCCTTTGGACTTCATGTATATTGTACAGTTACAGTAAAATTCAACCTTTATTTTCTAATTTTTTCAACATATTGTTTAGTGTAAAGAATATTTATTTGAAGTTTTATTATTTTATAAAAAAGAATATTTATTTTAAGAGGCATCTTACAAATTTTGCCCCTTTTATGAGGATGTGATAGTTGCTGCAAAGGAGGGGTTACAGATGCATATGTTCAATATAAAATAGAAAATATATTAACGTTTGAAATTAAACTGAGCTGTTTTGTCTTCCTTCACCTTTTATTTCAAGTGCAAGCAACCACATTTTATGTTAAGGTTATCATTTCAATTACAGGTACTCACACATCTATCAGATCATTGTTATCTTATGATTGCTGCTTTATACAGCCAGCTGGATTTGACGACTTTTAGAGATAATCTATCTGTATTTATTATACGAGAGTTTATTTTGCCTCTATCATTGTTCACGCCCTTCCCTTTGGTTTCGCACATTTGCTGACTTGCTTTTATTTTGCAGGGTTGGGTTTTTTTTTCAGATCTTAAAATTGATGTATTCAAGAGACTTACCTAAAAAATTAACAGTTAAACTTTTTCTTTGTATATGGTGTTACAAAAATGAATGCCAGAAGGATAATTCAAAACCAAAAGATGAGTTTTGTTTAACAAGGACTCACTGACTGTCATCTGTGTTTCAGGCATGCAAGATAATGCAGATCGATTCTTACAATCGGCCAAACAGATTAGCTGATCATGGAGGTGTTTTTTCCACTCTATTTGGTTTTAGACTCTGCAATTTCAACCTTCATCGCAAACTCCTATGTTAGAAAAGACATGAAAAATAGAACTTGATTCATCAGGTACCTGATATTATCAAACGTCATCCTAATTGACCTTATAAAAGTTAAGCCCAAGAAGGCCAACTGAGGGCCCCGATTTATTCAATCCAAATATCCAGAGAACTGTTAGAATTTGCTCTGGGAAAAAGATGTAGCCTGGCCAAGTGTTGGTGTGTGTGGAGTTGTCTTTTGAGAGCAAATACGCAGCAAGCTGCTACAAGCCTGTCTTAACAAACATTAGCTTTTCTTAAGTCATTTGGTTAGTCATTCTGTGGCAGATGATTTTTTTTCTTCCTCCCCAAAAGGACAACCTTTTGCTGCCAAGAGTCACCGGAACTCTAGGAAATAATTTACCTGTCATTGTTTAATCTCTCATTTCCTGTTCTGAAGTTCCTTCTCTTAGGTGAAAAAGCCTTAGTACAGGTTGTCTTTTGTTTCGTTTTTTAAAATTGGCTTTCAAGGAATTATATATATAGATATACAGTTGGTATATGGCCTCTTACCTTCAGACACTATTAAGGATGTTCATTTTCCTTAGGAACTCTCTTCAAGGAACACAATGTTAAACTAATTTAGAAACTCTTAAATGTCAACTTTGGCATGTGGAATGTTTTAGTTCTAATTCTCTTGAAATTTTACCTTGGTGGTCTATGGGGGAATTAGAATGTGGGGAAATGGGGCCTGGTTTCTTACTGTATGGTTTTCAAGATTTGTAAAGCACAAACAGTTTAACTAGCTTATTTCATCAAAAATGGGTGCGTGCATTGATAGAGCTTTGTTTGGTATAAAAATTGTGAGAGTCCAGTGTTTGTTTTCACCATGTAAGCAGTTTTCAAGGTGTTCTGTACATACCTTGCATAAGATGCCTTTGAGTATTACAAAGGTAAACTGTAGATTAGGAGCTCCAAGTTAGAATTGCTGGTATAGCCCAGGAATTTGCATTTTAATCACATTTGCACAATTGGTGATAATGCAGTATAAGAACTACTGGCCTAGAGGAATTGTTTTCTAATTTGGCTAAAAATGGACTCACAGAAGCATAACTGTAGTTTGCATACGTAGTGATTGTCACCTGAAGTTGGAAGATTTAGCCTAAGTATGCACATTCTGATGAAATAATGTGTGTAAAGATAAATAAGAAAACTGGATTCCTTAAGAAGCTTCCAACTAGCCTACTAAATGTTGAATCTTATCTATAACCAATATAGAATTTTCACATTATGAACAATTAAAAATTAAAAAGGTAGAAACAGCTTGTGCTCACTCATTCGGTGTGTTGAAGAGTTTTTAAATGTTGCCAAGTTATCTCACTTGGGAAAAAATGCAAAGGAATAATCACCTCAAGTTCTTAATCTCTAAAGTTCACGAACATTTATATCACAATATGAGTTTATATTCCAGGGGCCGTTATTTTGAAGTGATAGGTTAAAAGTATAATGATATAGCAAACATTACCGCTGAGCATTCAGGGGGATTTTAATAAATGTTTCATCTGGATTTTTGCTTTTTAAATTATTTTTAGAACCTGTGATGGTCTACATTTAAGATTCACTTAAGAATGACAACTTGATTGTCGTTACTTAAAACATTCATTTACGTGTTTTGAGGAGGAGATTTTAAGGCCCTGCCAAATTTCTACCATGTTGGAGCATGCTCGGGGGATTGTCTGTGAAAGAAGGAAGCCAAAACTCAGGGAAGTAATCCCAACCAAACGTTTTGTACAACTTCTTTCTCCAGTACACTTCTGTGTCAAGGACTACTAGACTCCAGGATATAGAAACTAAGTTACTGATGATGTCAGATAAGTGAATTAACTCACTGCTGTTAGATATTTGATAGATAGTTAATGAGTTTGATGTCATTTATTAACTTTTCAGCATATAGGTCAAAATTTTCAGTGTAATTGATTTAGTTTTACTGGCTCCAAACCTATAATTAATTGGCCCTTTGCTTTTTTCTCCTAAATATGCAAAAGTTCAAAGGTGTAGATGGAGAAATCTCAACTTCGAATATTGGTGCAATTGTATAGATCAAAAATAAGTTTGTCATCTTGTACACAATATTTTATACTATTTTAGCACAGAAAAATATAAAGAGGGGCTATGCGCCAGTTATATCCATGTTATATCAGTATCCAGGCTTTGGTTGACAGTAGCATGAAGGCAAAATAATGTTAATTTCTATTTTAATTTGGATTAATGTCTCATTTCCCTATGGCTCTCTGAAGACCAGGCCTATCTGAGTTGGATTAGAACTTATCATACATTAGTGACCCTGCACATCCAGAATATTTGATCACTGGTTTGGCCACTCAAAAAGGAATAACGCAGTCAGGCTGTGTCTATCCTATACTATAGATTTCACCCAGATGTCATACTGTCGCACGTTGTAATGTAAGAGACCACCATGGGAAAATGAGAGACCAAAAGTGAATACCACAGGTAATACTGCTTCTGGTCAAAATTAAAATATTCATTAATCTATAATTTACGAAATAGTTTAATGTTTTAAAACAAAAAATAGAGAGAAAGAAGTATAGCAAATGAAAAAAAGAAATAGCCCTTAAACATTTTTTTACATGCCTAGCAAATGTTTATTTGATATCGCATTTTGATGGACTTGACATTTTGACATTTTTATTTGATATTGCATTTTGATGGACTTAAATAATTTAAAGCAAACCAATCTTATTTGGCAACTCATACTTTTTTTTTTTTAAATAAACTATTAAAGGAGATTAGAATGAAGCCTTGGCCTTTGGCTTGGCCAGATGGGGCATGTAAGGTTTCAGTGTACTTTATGAATTTATTTCTCAAAATAGTTGCTAATGCAGAGAAAATAATAAATAATTTGGCTTTATACTAGGGCTCACTTGGAATGGTAGAATTAGGGCACTAAAATAGTTTGACATTTCCACTTAAATATTCTTTGCCTACTGTTTACAAATCACAAGGCTAATGTATCTAATGCAAAGGAAAGGGTTAGCAACTCTAACGTAAGGCAGGATTAAAACAATGATGGAAGCAAGACACTCTAGGAGTACAGAAATTGAGGCGGCATTAATGCATTCTCGTTGGTTGGTTTGGTCTCCATGTCTTTGCAATGACTACAGATATTTAAATCGCCAAAGAGTTTTTGCTAAGACAGTTGCAACGGAATTAACAGCACTCATTGGGGAAAACCATGTTCACCGCTCTCCTATCCTTTATTCAAAATGAAATGTAGAGTTATTTAATGAATATTTTAACAACTACATTTTTGCTGTATATTCTCAATTTTGAGAGTCACGACTCACCGTGTCTTCCCTTAAAAAAATATGGACTTTTAAAAATACATTTTCAGCCAAGTGCAATGGCTTACACCTGTAGTCTTGGCTCACTGGGAGGCAGAGGAAGTGGATTACTTGGGCTCAAGAGTTCAAGACCAGCCTGAACAAGAGCAAGAACCAGCCTCTACTAAAAATAGAAAACCTGGTGGGAGGTCACAGCAAGCACCTGTGGTCCCAGCCACTCTCAGGCTGAGGCAGGAGGCAGAACTTAATAACTGTGAGCTCTGATGACACCACAGCACTACCCAGAGCAACAGAGTGAGATTCTATCTTAAAAAAGAAAATAAAATGAAATAAAATAAAAATATATTTTCAAAATATATAACTAAAAAACAAGTCAAAAAGTTCCATCTATTCTTTCTCTTCTAGTTCTTGATGGAATTTGCCTCTTGTCCTTCACTCATAATTTTAGCTTGCTTCTGCACCTAGAGAAGGAAGAATATTTTCGAGAAAAGAATTGAGAATAATTAATCTTCAGGTGGGAGTGGAGGAAGAAAAATGTAGGTGGCACTGAAAAAAGAAGTGATGAGCCTTGGAGCAATTCTGGGCTTGCCCAAAAACACCTGTGACTTTGCTGCTGAGGTTCACACCACCCTCAAAACTCGGATAATCCTCTCTCGTATCTAAGCTAAAGAGACTTCCATTTTTGAAATGGTTTTTGTTACAAATAACATCTGATTTATTGAATTGCAGCAATAGTCTTTATGAGGTCAAGCAGGGTTCTGATACATGCCATATTTTTATCATCTTTCATTTCTCCAGATACTTAACTTAGCAGGCTCTATGCACCTGTCCTGGCCTAAACTTGGCTTTCCTGCTCCAAGGTTGGCATAAAATAGCCCTAACACCTGTCGCTGGTCTCCCTAGAAAACAGTTCCTGAGATTCCTGTTAGAAAGTCTTCTTGGAAGTTCAGAACGGCACGTAAGGAAGCAGAGCTAATGGTCACTGTGAACATTGTAAAACTAGTAACCAATCAGCCTAGCATGGATCAAGCAATAAATAGCACATATAGACCCTTGGGATAAATTTAGTACCTGCTCTGTTGGCATGGCAAAGCTAATGGCCAGGATGCCCCAAGAGATGTTTG